AAGAGGAGGAGGTGGAAGAGGAGGAGGAGGAAGAGGAAGAGGAGGTGGAAGAACCAGAGGAGGAGGAGGAGGAGGAGGTGGAAGGCTTGTGGGAACTGGTTTCAGCTGTCGAGGTCTTGTTCATATGATATCTAACCACTCAACCTACTCTCCCTAGTCTCCCTACTCTCCCTACTCTCCCTTTCGTGCTCTCCCTAGTCTCCCTACTCTCCCTACTCTACAACAAACACGTCATCAATTACGTCACTGATTACGTCATTATACGTCACTCTTCCTCAGTGGTGCCAAATGTATCTTTTTCACTCGTTCACAAACTACTAATTAATGTTTGTATGTCTGTCCTTTTGGGCCCTCTGTCTGTCCTTTTGGGCCCTCTGTCTGTCCTTTTGGGCCCTCTGTCTGTCCTTTTGGGCCCTCTGTCTGTCCTTTTGGGCCCTCTGTCTGTCCTTTGGGCCCTCTGTCTGTCCTTTTTGGGCCTCTGTCTGTCCTTTTTGGGCCCTCTGTCTGTCCTTTTGGGCCCTCTGTCTGTCCTTTTGGGCCCTCTGTCTGTCTTTTGGGCCCTCTGTCTGTCCTTTTGGGCCCTGTCTGTCCTTTGGGCCCTCTGTCTGTCCTTTTTGGGCCCTCTCTGTCCTTTTGGGCCCTCTGTCTGTCCTTTTGGGCCCTCTGTCTGTCCTTTTGGGCCCTCTGTCTGTCCTTTTGGGCCCTCTGTCCTATAGTCTTCAGCCAATCAGCTCTTAGGTCTGTGACGTCACATTCACCGGCCACTGTGATTGGCCAACACACCCCACAGGTTAGGTTAGGTTAGGTTAGGTTTGGTTTGGTTAGGTTAGGTTAGGTTAGGTTAGGGGGAATATTCTCAAACGCCGCCTCTAATAGTACTAGACACGTTACGAGACACGTTACTAGACACGTTACTAGACACGTTACTAGACACGTTACCAGACACGTTACTAGACACGTTACTAGACACGTTACCAGACACGTTACCAGACACGTTATTAGACACGTTACCGACACGGTTACCAGACACGTTACAGAACACGTTACAGACACGTTACCAGACACGTTACTAGACACGTTACTAGACACGTTACCAGACACGTTACTAGACACGTTACCAGACACGTTACTAGACACGTTACCAGACACGTTACCAGACACGTTACTAGACACGTTACTAGACACGTTACTAGACACGTTACCAGACACGTTACCAGACACGTTACCAGACACGTTACCAGACACGTTACTAGACACGTTACTAGACACGTTACTAGACACGTTACTAGACACTGACTCTCGGATACACTTCCCACCGTAAGTAACTCACCCTATGGATAGCTCTGACAATGACTCACGTGTGACCTGAGGTAGGCCCAGTGGGTGCCGTTGGGGAGTGTTGTGAAAGTGGTTACCTGTGGAAGGGTCTGCAGGGCCTTTTTATATGAGATCTCCAACCGGCAGATGACCTCTCAACTGGGTGCGTCTTGACCGGGTGTTAGGTCGGGTAACAGAGGTGCTGGCTAGTTAGCAGTTCCTTGATTTACTAAGGTCATGACTCCGGGTTGACCTGATCGAGTGGCGGTGAGAATTCTGGTTCTCTTGGGGGATGTCACGGGTTCGATTCCCGGGCCGGTGGAAGTTGTTTGGACACTCTTCCTAGCCCTTGTTAGTCCCTGTTCCCCTAGCAGCACAGTAGGTACCTGGTGTAAGTCGAAAGATGTGAATTCGTCTTCAGGGACAAGTTGTTGGAGCTTCCAATAACTTGATGACATAAACCATTGACTCTTCAGGCTTCTACGCCCTTGATCCTTCAGGCTTCTACGCCCTTGACTCTTCAGGCTTCTACGCCCTTGACTCTTCAGGCTTCTACGCCCTTGATCCTTCAGGCTTCTACGCCCTTGATCCTTCAGGCTTCTACGCCCTTGACTCTTCAAGCAGGCTTCTACGCCCTGGACAGGGGAGCTTCTTACGCCCTGACTTCAGGCTTCTACGCCTTGACCTTCTCAGGCTTCACGCTCCTTGATCCTTTTCAGGCTTCACGCCCTTTGATCCTTCCAGGCTTCTAATAATACGCCCTTGACTCTTCAGGCTTCTACGCCCTCAGGGCTTCTTACGCCCTTGACTCTTCAGGCTTCTACGCCCTGGACTCTTCATTTCTACGCCCTTGACTCTCTTCAGGCTTCTACGCCCTGACTCTCTTCAGGCTTCTACGACCTTGTCTTCATTTCTATGCCCTTGACTTCAGGCTTCTATGCCCTTGACTTCAGGGCTTCATGTTCTTGACTCTTCAGGCTTCTACGCCCTTGACTCTTCAGGCTTCTACGCCCTTGATCCTTCAGGCTTCTACGCCCTTGATCCTTCAGGCTTCTACGCCCTTGACTCTTCAGGCTTCTACGCCCTTGATCCTTCAGGCTTCTACGCCCTTGACTCTTCAGGCTTCTACGCCCTTGACTCTTCAGGCTTCTACGCCCTTGACTCTTCAGGCTTCTACGCCCTTGACTCTTCAGGCTTCTACGACCTTGTCTCTTCATGCTTCTATGCCCTTGACTCTTCAGGCTTCTATGCCCTTGACTCTTCAGGCTTCTATGCCCTTGACTCAGGCTTCTACCCTTGACTCTTCTTCAGGCTTCTAATACGCCCTGACTCTCTCAGGCTTCTATGCCCCTGACTCTTCAGGCTTCTACTCCCTTGGCTCTTCAGGCTTCTACGCCCTTGACTCTTCAGGGTTTATGCCTCCTTGGACTCTTCAGGCTTCTATGCCCTTGACTCTTCTTCAGGCTTCTACGCCCTTTTTGATCCTTCAGGCTTCTACGCCCTTGACTCTCTTCAGGGCTTCTATGCCCTTGACTCTTCACAGGCTTCTACCGCCCTTGACTCTTCAGGCTTCTACGCCCCTTGACTCTTCAGGCTTCTACGCCCTGACTCTTCAGGCTTCTACGCCCTTGATCCTTGTATTTGGCTGCCCCTTGACTCTTCAGGCTTCTACACCCCTTGACTCTTCAGGCTTCTACACCCTTGGACTTTTTAGGCTTCTGCACCCTGCACTTTTCAGGCTTCTACGCCCTTGACTCTTCAGGCTTCTACGCCCTTGACTCTTCAGGCTTCTATGCCCTTGACTCTTCATGCTTCTACGCCCTTGATCCTTCAGGCTTCTACGCCCTTGACTCTTCAGGCTTCTATGCCCTTGACTCTTCAGGCTTCTACGCCCTTGACTCTTCAGGCTTCTACGACCTTGACTCTTCAGGCTTCTACGCCCTTGACTCTTCAGGCTTCTATGCCCTTGACTCTTCATGCTTCTACGCCCTTGATCCTTCAGGCTTCTACGCCCTTGACTCTTCAGGCTTCTATGCCCTTGACTCTTCAGGCTTCTACGCCCTTGACTCTTCAGGCTTCTACGACCTTGACTCTTCAGGCTTCTACACCCTTGACTCTTCAGGCTTCTACGCCCTTAACTCATGAGACATAAGTCAAGCATTAACTTAGCATGCTTCCCTATTGGGCGCTGTAAACGCTTCTGCGCTTCACCTTACACAAGGCTGTAGGGGAGTGTCCAATAAATAATAATAAAAAAAAAATTCTGGTTCGCTTGTGAACTTGACCTCCCTTGGGTCAGGTCTGGACAGCTGTTTGCCCAGGTGCGGGGTCATGTCACTGGTCTGTAATGCTTCCTAATTATTACCACCCAGGTGTGTCTTGGCGAGGTCTGGTCTCTTTAACACAGTCATGTCACCGGGTTAAAACTAAAGTACATTGTGGCCGTCAGCTCTCCTAGGACAGGTCTTGCTGTCACACCCCAGCACACTTCAACACATTCCAACACACTTCAACACACTTCAACACACCCCAACACATCCCAACACACTCCAACACACCCCAACACACTCCAACACATCATCAACGTCACTAAAATATCTTGCTTACACATTTTACATATTTGCCTTGTCGTATCTAAGGACATATTGTTTACCAGTGTTTGCTTAAGTGAATCTCTTCTCCTTTCGTTGTTTCTGAAGGATGGAGCCTCACCTGGGATTAGGTTAGGTTAGGTTGGGTGGGGAAGGCTCACACACACACACACACACACACACACACACTACACACACACACACACACACACACACACACACACTACACACACACACACACACACACACACACTACACACACACAGGTAGCTACTTAGTGATTCTCAACTATGTGTTACTTGCACTAAACGTTACTTGTACTAGATTTTACTGAGTACTAGACATTACTGAGTACTATGTGTTACTGTTACCTGAACTAGATGTTACTGAGTACTAGATGTTACTGAGTGTTACGTGTGTCAGTCAACAGGTGGGGAATGAACACACCGTTACCTCACGTGACATCGTCTTTATGTGATAATAACACTGGTTTATGTCCAGGCGTGTCTCTCTCTCTCTCTCTCTCTCTCTCTCTCTCTCTCTCTCTCTCTCTTGTTTACGTGAACACACCATGTACACCTGACCACACCATGTACCCCTGACCACACCATGTACCCCTGACCACACCATGTACCCCTGACCACACCATGTACCCCTGAACACACCATGTACACCTGACCACACCATGTACCCCTGACCACACCATGTACCCCTGAACACACCATGCTTGCGTGACCACACCATCTACCTATACCGTATCTCCTAATGGGGTATAGACGTGTGTGTGTGTGTGTGTGTGTGTGTGTGTGTTTGTGTGTGTGTGTGTGTGTGTGTGTGTGTGTGTGTAGATAAACAGTCAAACCTCTATATAACGGACACTAGTGAGAGGAAGGTCCGTATATCGAGGGTCCATTAGATGTGAGACCCTCCATACAACGAACACTTCTTAGTAACAGTGTCTTTCAGTGTAAATTTATCTATACATCTATGTAAATATGACGGATAGATTAACATTAGTTACCCCCGATAATATTCTCAAGAGTTACGTTTTCTCTTATAAAAATTAACTCCGTTTTCTCTAACTTGTTTTAGGGTGGACTCGTGAGAAGTGTGAGCGGCGTTAGTTTCCGTCGCAGTGTTCGTGTTGAAGGAAACAGATACACAGCAAGCTCGGCAGACACATCGGATACAGGTGTCAAGTGTCCTCTAGATGATACAGGTAAGATGGGCTACTTTTTTGGTGATGGTACTGTTTATATTTTTTCCCGTTTGTGTATTTTACTACGTTGTAACAAGAATCAAATTGGATACGGCTAAGGTAGAACTATTTTTTCGTAACATATTTATCCGATGGTATTTATTTCGTTCTGTGAGGTTACGTTTTTTAAAACTTATAGGCTGCAGAGTTGTGAACTGTTGGAACACTCTGCCAGAGAGTGTTGTGACGGCACCGAGTGTGAGCTCTTCCAAGACCAGACTTGACCAACACTGGAGTGGGTTTAGGTACATTCAGGAGCCGGTGCATGGCCAGTACTTGCCAACAGTGTGTAACAGAGAGCCAGTACATGCCCAGTACTTGCCAACAGTGTGTAACAGAGAGCCAGTACATGCCCAGTACTTGCCAACAGTGTGTAACAGAGAGCCAGTACATGCCCAGTACTTGCCAACAGTGTGTAACAGAGAGCCAGTACATGCCCAGTACTTGCCAACAGTGTAACAGAGAGCCAGTACATGCCCAGTACTTGCCAACAGTGTGTAACAGAGAGCCAGTACATGGTCAGTACTTGCCAACAGTGTGTAACAGAGAGCCAGTACATGCCCAGTACTTGCCAACAGTGTGTAACAGAGAACCAGTACATGGTCAGTACTTGCCAACAGTGTGTAACAGAGAACCAGTTCATGCCCAGTACTTGCCAACAGTGTGTAACAGAGAGCCAGTACATGCCCAGTACTTGCCAACAGTGTGTAACAGAGAGCCAGTACATGCCCAGTACTTGCCAACAGTGTGTAACAGAGAGCCAGTACATGCCCAGTACTTGCCAACAGTGTGTAACAGAGAGCCAGTACATGCCCAGTAGCAGTGTGTAACAGTACATGCCCAGTACTTGCCAACAGTGTGTAACAGAGAGCCAGTACATGCCCAGTACTTGCCAACAGTGTGTAACAGAGAGCCAGTACATGCCCAGTACTTGCCAACAGTGTGTAACAGACGTGACTGACCGCCAAAGTAGCTAAAGAGTCGATGAATATTGAAAAGAATAAAAATAACCAAAGAAAACGGTGGATTAAGAGAAAACGTGAAGGTTTTAGGGGTGACTGTAGGGTTTTGTCTTCGATGGTAAACTAGGTTATATACATTGACCTTATTTAACTAATGACCAGCCACTAGATGTAGCCATGACGAGTGAAGGAGGCCATTGACCTGTGTAGGATCCCTCCATGGCTCTTGATAATCTTGGCTAGGTCTATTGTTAGGCCTAGGAAGTCTAATAAGAGAAAGGTTAAAATAGTCTGTGCTCACCAGGGATCGAACCTGGGACCTTCTGTGTGTTAGACAGATGTGATAACCACTACACCATGAGCACATGATTAAGAAAGTAATATAAACTATAAAATAGATAGATAGATTTATTTATTATTATCATCCATGGTCTCATAAATGTTACGTGTGACTAGTGACAGCCCTCATATACCAATATTTATCGTCCATGGTCTCATAAATGTTACGTGTGACTAGTGACAGCCCTCATATACCAATATTTATCATACATGGTCTCATAAATGTTACGTGTGACTAGTGACAGCCCTCATATACCAATATTTACCGTCCATGGTCTCATAAATGTTACGTGTGACTAGTGACAGCCCTCATATACCTATAATTATCGTCCATGGTCTCATAAATGTTACGTGTGGCTAGTGACAGCCCTCATATACCAATATTTATCGTCCATGGTCTCATAAATGTTACGTGTGACTAGTGACAGCCCTCATGTACCAATATTTATCGTCCATGGTCACGTGTGACTAGTGACAGCCTCATACCAATGTTATCGTCCATGGTCTCATAAATGTTACGTGTGACTAGTGACAGCCCTCATATACCAATATTTATCGTCCATGGTCTCATAAATGTTACGGGTGACTAGTGACAGCCCTCATATACCAATATTTATCGTCCATGGTCTCATAAATGTTACGTGTGACTAGTGACAGCCCTCATATACCAATATTTATCGTCCATGGTCTCATAAATGTTACGGGTGACTAGTGACAGCCCTCATATACCAATATTTATCGTCCGTGGTCTCATAAATGTTACGTGTGACTAGTGACAGCCCTCATATACCAATATTTATCGTCTATGGTTTCATAAATGTTACGTTTGACTAGTGACAGCCCTCATATACCAATATTTATCGTCCATGGTCTCATAAATGTTACGTGTGACTAGTGACAGCCCTCATATACCAATATTTATCGTCTATGGTCTCATAAATGTTACGTGTGACTAGTGACAGCCCTCATATACCAATATTTATCGTCCTTGGTCTCATAAATGTTACGTGTGACTAGTGACAGCTCTCATATACCAATATTTATCGTCTATGGTCTCATAAATGTTACGTGTGACTAGTGACAGCCCTCATATACCAATATTTACCGTCCATGGTCTCATATTGGTTCCCACAAAGTATACACAGATAGTTGTTTTAGCTACACTACCTAGACAGTGTAGGTATACTTTAAACTTTTCTCCTCTTCACCACTGATCGGCTCATTAGCCAGTTGGACGTTCGGTCACGTCTCTGTTACGCACCGTTGGCAAGTACTGGTCATGTGCTGGCATATACACCTCAGTTCGGTCTCCCCTAGCTGCTTCTTGCTGTAGATAAGGGGCGAGGATGATGGGCCAGCTTAGCGCGTTTAAAGGGTATAGTTTAGTTGTTGTTGTTGTTGTTGTTGTTGTTGTTGTTGTTGTTGTTGTTGTTGGTGTTGTTATATTACGGGCATAACGCACCCGGGCAAAGGTCATTTTATGGCCCACATCGAGGCCTGGGGGTCGAAAATATAATAATAATAATAATAATAATAATAATAATAATAATAATAATAATAATAATAATAATAATCCAAAGTGAGAAACAATATAGCCTAAGTATGTTGTAAGAGACACACTGGAGACCCTGTAAAGTGAGCTCATCAACCTGAGACTTGGTCACAGGGTCAACCATTATGCTTCCAATATCTTCCCAGGCGGTAGTACCTCCCTGTTTGGTAGCTGCCTACTGTACTTGATTCACCTTCTTCCCACAATGGCCCGAGAACTTCAGATCATTGTCAGTATTTGTTAGGTATTCTGGGTAATAAGTTCTATATACAGGAGAGAACACAAACACCTGTATAGTTTGTAGGTTCGGTTTACTGGATAAGAGTATGTACACAGAGGTGGATAGCACTGCTCCCTAGCTAAGGTCCTGGTCAACTACCATAGACGACGTATGGCAAGTGATACATTAGCAGCTTCCATACGTCGCCAGGCACATTAATTAAGCGTGTGGGATATGGTAATAACATTGCCAATATCGCCATAGCTAGGCTGAATAAATATAAATGGAGCACATACATAATATACATACATAATACATAATCCAGCATACATCATATACATACACCTCCCTCCCCCCTATACGCTCATAGCAAAGTCTTGAGCGGACCTTTTCTTCTGGATCCGTTCTGAGCGTCGAGGGACTTCATCACTGGGAAGGGTATGGGACTCAACACTGGTGGCGGGGCCAGCAGAAGGCAGTGTTACGGGGCGGAGAAAACGGCGGTTCCTCCACCACACACGACCACTGGGTAACCGCACCTGGTAGTCCAGCTGATATATACCGAAGTTATGACTACGCCTACTGGCCCAGCAGCCCAAGTGGGGTCCTGAACACGGACTTGGGTGCAGCCTCCAACCTGGGGAAGAACTGGCGTGAGAGTGGGTGTAGCGGGCGACGACGTCCTGAACACGTTCAGCAGCCAAACGTCACAATCCTCTGTCTTGGCCTGCCACTCCTTGGAGAGAAGATTGAGGTGAGGCGGGGACACAAGACTGAGGGGGCGTCCCTTAAAAACCTGGGCAGGGAGGAGCGTCCGGTGTAGTTGGGTGTGTTACCCAGAGTTCAAGAAGGCCAGTCGAGAAAGGCCTTCGCGATCAATATTAGAGGGCCACCTTAAGATGAAGTGCTTCAGGGTTCTGACAGCCGCCTCAGCGTGGCCGTTGGACTGCAGGTAATGGGCGATGACAACACATGCGGCTCCCCATCGGTCAGGGAACACAGCAAAATTCAAGCGCGGAACTGGGGCCCTCCGTCGGTTACATGGCGTGCAGGCTGCCCGTCACGGAAGTGATGGCGGAACTTTTGATGGTGGCGGCAGACGCGTCCAAGTGCTTCGTACCGCCCTTGATGACAGCAACCAGCAGAGAACAGTCGACGATAACCAGAAGGACTTTCACGTACAGAAAAAGTCGGCCGACACAGACTCAAAGGGCGGGGTGGGTTGTAGTCACTCATGAGGGTTCTGCTGCTCTGGCTGCGGGTTTGTAATCGTGGCCGGGGAGGCACACCTGGACAGCATTGGGTGTCGGGTCGATACCCAGGCAGGTTTACAGTCTGTCGTGCGTCGTTTGGCCTCAGCTCCGCGGTGGCTGTCGTGGTGACCAGGGCGTGGGGACGTGATGGCGGGACAGCTACGAAGAGGTGTCACCTGGCCAGAGGCTGAGGCAGGGCGGCAGCGGGGTGGTTGCTGCTCCTTCGATGCACCTGTTGGCGTAATTTACCTCGAATCGGTGTTAGAGTCCTGAGATGATGGCCAACTCTTGACAATGTCTGTGGGACAGCAAGGAGTCAGGAACCTGTATGCACACGTCAATCCAGGCCTGGCCGACCTGTTGCAAAGGTGACATGTTGCGCTGCTGCAGAAAGTGAACTTGGGGCTGGGCCATCTGTGAACCATCTGCCGTGACGCGAAGAGGTCCTCGGGAGAGCGGTCCTGGTCGGCAGAAGGCAAGCATCGCAATGCTGGGGACCGTGTTTGTAGCGTCGGCGCGGTGTGGGAGCAACATCAGAGACGGGATGGCCCGCCGTAGGTCACGATGACAGCGATGTACTGGGGGACTTTGGTCCTGGGGTGCGAGGTACACCCTCCTAAATGGGTCGGGCTTTGTCCAGGGGTCGTCGGTGCCTCACGGTTAACGACCTAATGGGCGGCCCTCACTGGTAGAAAGGGCGCCGAAGCTTCCATGACCTTTGTCCCTTGGGTTCATGGGTAGGGCAACA